GGCCACTGCACTCCAGTCTGGGCGACAGAGTGAGACTCCAACTCAAAAAAAAAAAACCTGCAAGTGAACGTTCACTGTAGTATTATTCATAATAGCCAAAAAGTGGAAACAACCCAAATATCCACAAACTGATGAACAGATAAACACAATGTGATCTAGCACATTTTGGAATGGAATATGAATCGACCATAAAAAGTAACAGAGTACTGACTCATGCTACACTATGGCTGAACCTTGAAAACAGGCCAGACACAGAAGGCCATATATTGTATGATTCCATTTATGTGAAATGTCCAGAAGAGGTAAATCCATTTAAATAGAAACTAAATTAGTGGTTGCCAGGTGCTGAGGAGTATTCGGTTAATGGAGTGAATTAAGTGGGGAAGTTCCCACTTAATGACTGAGTGGCTTCTTTTTTTTTTTTTTTTTAAGGGGGATGAAAATGTTCTGAAATTAGACAGCAGTAATGTTACATCCCTTTGTAAACACACTAAAACCACACTTTAAAGTAGTAAATTTTATCTAAAAAAATTTTTTAGATGCATAGTAAAAAAAACCATGACGTGATTTGCCCAAATGTCACAGTAGTTGTATAGTGGCTACAAGATATTATGCAGTTTTTTTCTCTTTTTCCAAATTTATGCTAATTTGGTTATAGAACTTAATGAAAATAATTTTTCAAATGAAAATTTGTAAATGAAACCAGAATTTTTTCTTTGTTAATTTCCTACCCACATTTCTGTTCTCTCCACTTTGATTCCCCAAATACAGGTCACTGAATCCAAGGCGACCTGTGGAGGGAAGAGTTCAGATGTCAGGGAGAGCCTCCAGGGGAAGCACTGATGGCCACTGTACCATACTAAGAAAGATCCCTTCCTTTGAAAAGACATTATTTGCCTGTTATGTTTTAACTTCACAGTGCCTTGCAGAGAGCTGTTTAACTTGCACAGTGCCACTCAGTAAATATCTGTGGAATTAAAGATGATGTGGTAGGTTGAATAATGGCCCCCAAAGATGTCCATGTCCTAATCCCTGGAACCTGTGAATGTTACCCAGACGCTCACCTATGAGATTAAGTGAAAGAATCTTGAGACGAGGAGTTTATGCTGGATTATTCCAGGTGGGCCCTAAGTGTCATCAGGAGTGTCCTTATAAGAGGGGAGGCAGACGGAGACTGGACCTCAGAAAAGGAGGTGATGTGATGATGAAGGCAGAAATTTGCAGACAGGGGAAGGGGCTCCGAGCTGAGAAATGCAGACATCTCCTAGATGCCCCAAAGGGCAAGGAAAACAGATTCTCCTTCCAGAAGCTCCAGAAGGAATCAATCTTGCTGACCCCTTGACTTTAGCCCAGTGAAACTGATTTTGGACTCTAGTCCTCAAAAATGTAAGAGAATACATTTTTGTTGTTTTAACCACAAACTTTGTGATAATTTGTTACAGAAGCTACAGGAACTAATACAGATGGCTTATTAGTTAAAACTATTTTAAAATGTGTTTATTAGTGAAACAGTCTTTAGTCTCTCTAAAATGACTTTCATTCATGGGAGTTTTCACTTCCTTATTGCTGTTGGCATGAATTTCCCCCTCCATCCCTGTCCTTCCCACTCCTTGACTGAAGTTGGAAACAGAAGAGGGAAGAAAATCAACTGTGGATTCTGGAAAGGAGAGCAGGGTGTGGAGCTCTCCATGTTGGCTCAAACTCTCTTCTTTTTATTTGCCGATGATTTATTTGTGGCTAGACAAATGTAGGCTTCGTGCACTGAGAACTCTGAGAAGAGTGACTAATTTGGAGGGTTGGTGAGAATATGGAATGTTGATGAAGATATCACAGAGGAGGTGGCATCTTCTTGAAAAGGACAAATAAGATTTTGCCTATGGAGAAAAGGGAAGTATTCTATCCAGAGCCCAAGAAAAGGCATGGAAGCAGAAAAGTGCTGGATTCTGGACAAATGCTTAGTAGATTTAAGTATTAAATTCAGTGGGCTACACTAGATGGGTCATTTATCCAAAAAACATTATCTGTCTGCTATTTGACAAGCCTGTGCTGAGGACAAAGAGATGGATACAATATGATCCCTGCCATCATGGAGTTCATAATTGGGAAGACTAATGTGTAAATATAGACTGTCCCCAACTTATGATGGTTCAACTTTCAAGTTTTGACTTTATGGTGGGTTTATTAGGTCATTAAATGCATTTTCAACATACATTATTTTTTACTTAAAGATAGGTTTGTTGGGAGGTAGCCCACTGTACATCAAGGAATATATATATATATATGTTTGCATATATTATAATTGAGTGTATTAAGAGCAAGTTTGAATGTCAAACATCTGGACTTCATCTTTTGGAGGAGAGGGATGACCAAGAAAGAGCGAGTGAAGAGGAACATCCCACAAAACACAGTCATGATCAATGTCTTTGATTCTTAGAGCTCTCTATTTGAGATCCTCTAGCCAACACCACCTTCTGACTTAGTTCTGGGTCTGAGTGCTCCCACAGCTTCAACCATGGGCTCCATCACTGATGGTAGCTGCCACTTGATGAGCCAGCTGCCTGGAATCCTGCTTTCTTCTCGTCTCTCTTCTTTTTTTTTTTTTTTTTTTTTGAGTTGGAGTCTCACTCTGTCGCCCAGACTGGAGTGCAGTGGCCTCTCCCGGCCACCGCAGCCTCGACCTGG